ACGTATAGAGATCATGTCATTGCATAAAGATTGGCGTCGTAACCTAACCTCTCAATGTCACAATGAAAATGCATTAATTGGAATTTTCATCATGCTATGTTTACATTCCTTTCATTTCTTTGTGATTTTCGTAAGGTCAGATCAGTCTCATAAGACGCTAGTCATTCCAATCAAGAAAGAACATAGGCAAATTAATCTGATGCAAATCGTTTTAATCTACAATGAAATATTTTAATTTTGAAATATCAATATTTTCGACAGATAGCTTTTCTGATGTTACGCTGTTATATTTATATATAATAAATTTATATCAAACATATGGCGAACGCAGTGGTAAAGTTTAGTCTTCAATTTAATCTTGTTAATTAACATTGGGATTAGGCCCCGGGGTTTTTGTTAGAAATTAAATGCATTTTTCACTTTAAATAAAATTCACCCAGGCTCCATTCAATAACTGTCATTTCGACTTCCAAACATAGAATAATTGTTCAATTCAGTAGACAGTGCCATGGACGTTTAAATTTCTCTAGTTTTTTTGTTTTCAATTTTCATGTCATTTATTAAGTAATCGAAAATTATATATTCTATTTAATATGATTTTGGCACATATTCACACATGGACCGAACAAAATTATTACACTGGATCGCCGTCTATATCTAAAAGGAAATTGTCATTTTGGCGCCGTTGTGTCGGACGTCAAATTTCATTTTCGTGTTGCAGTGTGACGTCGTCTCAGAAGTGAGCGAAAAATGATTCATGTGAGATTGACGTAACTTTCGACGCAGCGTGGAATCTCATTATTTTTACAGAAATTATACATCAGAATTTTAGGTCTAATTTCGACAACAGCTTGCGATCACTCCGATAAATTATATACATTGTTATCGGCTTCTACCGAATGATGGTGTATTGATGAGGGTGGCTTAAGTAGAAACGACGCTCTGCGCCCTTGAATAGCGGACAGTCATTTTTCAAAAATTTCCTGTTTTTTTAGCAAAAAATCAATAATGCAACAATAGAAAAAAGATGTTCATATAACAGCGCCAGCTATTAAAATTGGATTCGACAATATATGGCGCTTTTTAGACGAAATCTGGTCGTTTAAAATTTTTGTCCGAAGTTATGCATTTTTACGATAACCTAGTTTTTGGATCTAGTATAGTTTAGTACCACAAGTACTTCCGGTGGGCAAGCATAAAAGACTTTGCATATGTTATTCCTAAACCCCATCTGACTATGTCACCCAGAAATTATGTCACTGCGATGTCACAATCCCGTCATTAGCCAAAGTATAGCTACGATTGCCGAATTGAGCAACCGATAACAGTACAGCACACTATCCAAATTCCAAGAATTTCCCTCCATTTGGCTCAATAAAACAAACACTCCATGTTGCTCACAAACGAAGTGGCGTCTGGGACCACGTTAGATGATTCATATCGCGCCATGCTTGTCTCGATAATAATCTAAATTAATCGCGGCTGTCACGTGAACAAAATTGCTGTTTTTTGCTAAAAACTCTCGAATGCCACAGTAAAAAAAATTTTCCTTCTGTAAATCGGATTATTTTTTCCCAAGGAATTCAATGATGAGTTAGGTATTAGATTGCGCTTCTTTGTAGTATTTTGCGCAACTTCATTATACTGTATTATTACCGATATCGAGGGACAACAATGTCCAGACGTCTCCTAAAGGAGGGTGTTTGGTCATCTGTAAAATGGGTTTATCTGGAACGGGACAATGTCATCCGATCTGTATAGTGTGCCGTACTGGATAACGAACTCACTGACGACTACAATTTCTTTAAATGTTGCAGTGAGATAATTTGAAGGGCTTTATTACGTCACTGTTGTGTCATAGTAACATAATTTTTTGGTGACATACCGGTAGTCATGTGGGGGTTGGGAATGACATATGCAAAAAGTTTTCAGCCAGTCCAACTAGAAGTGCATGTGATGCTAAACTATACCAGACCCTAGTTTTTTACAAGACATTTTTTTACAAGACATTTTCAAGTTCAGGTATAAAATCCTAGAGCTTTGTACCTGATTCGGTTGAGTATTATAGGATAGGTATAGTTCTGGTTCGATCCCTTAACCACTGAAATTTTTTTCTCTATTACAAAAGACTGTCTATGAAATACTGACATCTAATAATGAGTACCGGTATATTGAATTTTCTCATCAAAATATCAGCTGATGACAGATCGATGGTATGTGCTTGGGTGTTGGAAGGAGAGAAAGTTGAGGAAGATTGAAATTCATGAAAAGTTATGGTCAAGTACAGGATTACTTCATTTGGCAACTTATGCAAAAGATGCTTACTCATTGTCAAGATACTAGGTACATTGTAGCCATTCAGATAATCAATGAAGAATACAAATATGGTGGAAATTTTTTCATCACAGACATGTATAGGCAAGAAAGGTATTATGCATAGCAGTGAAATGTTGAACTGGATTATTTGGTAGACTAATTGCCTCCATATATTCATTGGGCATTAATACTTGATAGTCATATTTATTATCATAACTTGAATTATATCATATGCTGAGGAATTTTTTTTACTGATAAAAGCTGAACCCCTTGGTGAAGTGTATGAGTCTTGAAATTCATGAACAGGGAGGGGTCTTGGGGTCCTAACTTTAGCATTGGTTCATAGCAATAACATACAAAGTGAGGTTAAGAAAATAGATTTTGAAATGTGAACGGGGATAGATAGAATTTTTACTAGAAATACAAATAATTACCTGGAACGTATAAGATAGAATATAGGCTTTAATGTAAACCTATCCCGGGGTCTTGTGTAGTTTTGTACTTCTAGTGGGCATAGGATAACGATTTTTGCACCCTCCCGGATCTATTATAGTTCAGTTCAAAGAGAATCGGGCGTACTCAATTTTAGCAATTTTATATGTAAATGTGCCAAAGTGATAATCAAACGGAGCTAATCAGGATGAGGTGTAGGACTGGCAGGATAAGTATGTGAGGAAAATTTGCAAAGATGTTAACACGATAAAGGCACTCAAAAGATATCACTTATCAAATACAGTATTTAAGCGATGGATCAGTGATCAAACATATGTGGTTATTATAGTGATAGCTCAGCAACTGAAAAACAAGTACAGTAGGAATAAGTTAGAACAAATTAAATAGGTTAACAGTCGATAGCTAAATAAAAGTTGTATGCTATGAAAGAAACATCAGCTTAAGAAAAGCATGGCATTTAGGATTGCACACTAATTATATTTTTTATCATAACATGAACTATATATTATGGTGAGTAGGGGTGGCCATAACCGAGTATTTGACTATTTTGAATGCATTCTAAAAAATATTTTCGAATCTGAAATTCAGAATACATCATTGACTTTTTAAAAAATCTATGGAAATAGCAATTTCAGCTTAATAATAGTATTAGTGTAAAGCAGCTTTGAATACAAATGGAATGTGTGATAATATTGAAATAAGTGAAGAATAATGGCATTTAGAATTGCAGACTGCAATTATAATCATATCTCAAATATCGCATAATCAGATTGGATTGATCCATAAATTAACTTGTCTTATTTGCCAATATAAAAAATAAAAACCATGGGTAACTAAGTATTGCCACTGTATAATTTCAGTGCCCATATGTTGTAAGGAATAGTGCATCCTATTTAGGCAGGAGTAAAGAGAGCACAGTGAATATATATAAATATTAGTACAACACGAGTAAATTATATGGAATAATCCTGAAAATATAATAAAAACAGATTTGCGGTGTCATGATTGTCAAGGGTAAGGTAAAACTGAATGTAAAGATTACACATATTGTACCAGTTTAATATTCAACTGTACAAGTAAGTTATATCATGATACATAATATAAGTTCGAATTTTTATTACATGTAAAAAATTTATTCCTATATGAATATATATAGATTCAATCGAATAAATGGAACAATAAAAGTATGTAGAAATTGAGTGATATTGAAATCACTTATTAAAGATTAATCAGACTCTTCATATAGTTGCGGACCCCATGTTCAGTCATCACAGACTCCCAGGGGTCAACGTATTCCAGCTTTGGAAATTCTGTTTTTATGTATAAGAATTTGTCTTTGTCTGGCTAAATTATCTGTGATTTCTTGCATGACAAAATCTGGAATTTCATGCTTTGGTCAGCGCGACGGCGTAATGGAGGCAAAGGTTCTCGGACCGAGGGCCAAAATTTTAACCACTCAGACTGGCGCGTCATGTTAGTGTGACATAAAAAGGTTAACATTTTATGGACAATATTTGCAGTGTTACAAAGCAAAAATTGCAAACAAGAAGCCTCGGCCAAAACTAGGTAAATTTAATCGCAAGGTCAACATATTCCTTGAGCTATTTTCAACTCAAAATTTGGTTTTACTTTGGTCGCTGCTGCATCAGGCGGGTCAGATCAAATTACCCAACGGGCCGGATTTGCCCGCGGGCCTCAGTTTGCCCATGTCAGGTCAAATGGTTAACGATAACGTTAGATCGGGTATGTCAGAGGTTCAAACTCGCAGGCTCTGAATAGTCAATTGTCAAGCTATGAGGCTTTCGGGGCCACATTGCATGTTGGAAATTGAGCCGAGGGCTGATGCAATTTTCGATATATTTTTATAATTAATCTTTATAGCATAGTTTCGTTAGGTGTGACACATATTGCGACTAAATTTATGACCTGGACCAGATGTCATTATTTTTTTTTAAATATTAAATTATATTGGTTTGGTCGGCACGATGATCTAACAGTTAACGATACCGTTTGATGAAAAAAATTTTTTCTTCCAAATGGCTTGCGGTTGGAACAATAACCTAATCAATGTTGTCATTGCAACTTAGGAAATCTCAGTGGCTACCTTGTTTAGAGAGAATGGAATGAATTAGCGTTTTATAACCTATTCGTCATTCCTTGAGCCAAACTTTTATGGTCAGGTAGAACATTCAAAAAATTTTCTCTGTTTTTGCAGTTTATCTTAAATATCTCACAATCTTGCTAATATTTTTCAAAACATTCAAGGAATTAAACAAGTTTGCTCGAAATGGGTGAGTATCATGATAAACATCATTTGTTCTTATGCGTAAGTGACAACTGCAACGTTTACAATTGAAAAATATTAATTAAGTTAGGTCCGGTTATTCCGGAATGGTTACCGGTACTTCTCAACTGTAAAGCACTTTACAAAATTCCTGGTATTTCTCAGTTTGCAATTCCAAGTTGTGGCTTTTACTTGTAGTTTCATGTGCAGTTGGATTCGTGATAGCATATCTGGGTTAGATTTGTTTGTCTTTAAGCCACCTTATCAGCTTTCCTCTCCCTGGGATAAATATGACAAATCATATCCTATGTCATAGGTAACGGTATCTATTTGTTGTTAAAATTTCCAACCTTTATATCACAGATCCCAGCAAATCATTCTCTGCATCGTTGGCTTCTAGTACAGGAGGAGAGAGTTTGACGACGAAGGAACCTGGAGTTGATCAAGGTGCGTATATGGCAAACAGTTCTGTCAGAGATGTATCGGAATCTGCAGTATTTCCAACCAATTCATTACTTTTATCTCATCCATAATATCCCGAAGTTCAAATTAGAATAGGAATATTGGCAATGTGAAATCATTTTTGCTGTTAAGAGATCTCTGCTACCTTTACAGCCCATTAAATTTGGTTTTACTGAGGCGATACATGGTTTTAGTATGAAGTTGAAATAAACGATATGTGAATTTGCTTGATCAGTCTTGTAAATATTATCCATCTTTACTTGTTACAGATCCTTCTCCAATCTCAGGAAAAATTTCTTCTAAAGCAAGCGCAGTGGAAAGAAGCAAAGGTGGTAGTCCATCACCTGCAAGGCAGGGACAAGATGGAGCGAAAAGTAGAGGTAATGAAAGATATGAGCAAAATGTAAAGTTGGCTCCAGCTCCGGCTACGGGCTCTATAGCCATTATCAGTGATGCAGCCCAATAACGCATTTTGCTGATTGTTCACTAAGTGTGGTTATTTAGGCTGTAAACACCTTTGAGTCGATGTCATGATAATTCCTCTTTTGTTTTTGCACGTATTATATACCTTATTTCCCGGTAAGCATCAGCAGCGGCTTCCTTGTTTACTTCGTGGCATTGGCCAGTCAGAAAGATGCAAAAAGTGACGTAACAATGCTCCCTTTTCGCATCTGCTCAGACACTTTTCTCACTTAGACAGATTTTCAAGCGTGGTCGTAAACGTTACCTCGTTTTTGCATTTTTGAACTCTATTCGTTAGTTTTCAGTTGTGTTTCGGAAACTTACGGTAAATGTAAATCAGATAATTCAATGGTCATCCTGTCTTCCTAACAGTTTTAATTTAATTGCAGTAATAAAAATTAGTGTAGAAATAGCTGTGATAGACTAGGCTAAAATTCTTTACCGGTACTTTTAAAAAACAGATTGTTGTATGCTATGAATCATTAAAATGGTTTGAAACACCATTTCTCAGGCGCTAACTCGCAAAAGCACCATTAAAATAGCCCAGAAATTTTGCAGTGTTAAAGTATAGGAAGAATTTTTCGGGGATCAAAGGTCAGGAAAAGGTCCATAGGCTTAGTAATGTCAAAGTACTTGCATTTTGGAATTCCTAAACCCAACAGCACTGACTCAAATATTTTGAAATACCATGTCTCCTGATTCTCTGAATATTTGGCATTGTAAGTTACGGTATGTCTTGGGCCTTGTTAAGAATGTTTTATTTATCGACCTATTTCCCAGACAGATGCAATTTCTGAAAATTACTGAAGTTTGATTTTCTCATAACCTGGAAATATGACATAAGCCAATTTGGTTTTACTGAGGCGATACATGGTTTTAGTATGAAGTTGAAATGAACGATATGTTAATTTGCTTGATCAGTCTCGTAAATATTATCCATCTTCACTTGTTACAGATCCCTCTCCAATCTCAGGGAAAATTTCTTCCAAAGCAAGCGCAGTGGAAAGCAGCAAAGGTGGTAGTCGATCACCTGCAAGACAGGAACCAGATGGAGCGAAAAGTAGAGGTAATGAAAGATATGAGCAAAATGGAAAGTTGGCTCCGGCTCCGGCCTCTATAGCCATTATCAGTGATGCAGCCCAATAACGATTTTGCTGATTGTTCACCAAGTGTGGTTTTTTAGGCTGTAAACACCTTTGAGTCGATGTCATGATATTTCCTCTTTTGTTTTTGCACGTATTATATACCTTTTTTCCCGGTAAGCATTAGCATCGGCTTCCTTGTTTACTTCGTGGTATTGGCCAGTCAGCAAGATGCAAAAAGTGACGTAACAATGCTCCCTTTTCGCATCCGCTCAGACACTTTTCTCACTCAGACAGATTTTCAAGCGTGGTCATAAACATTACCTCGTTTTCGCATTTTTGAACTCTATTCGTTAGTTTTCAGTTGTGTTTCGGAAACTTAAATATAGATCAGATAATTCAATGGTCACCCTGTCTTCCTAGGAGTTTTAATTCAATTGCAGTAATAAAAATTAGTGTAGAAATAGCTGTGATAGACTAGGCTAAAATTCTTTACCGGTACTTTTAAAAAACAGATTGTCGTATGCTATGAATCATAAAAATGGTTTGAAACACATACCCCATTTCTGAGGCGCTAACTCGCAAAAGCACCATTAAAATAGCCCAGAAAATTTTGCAGTGTTAAAGTATAGGAAGAATTTTTCGGGGATCAAAGGTCGGGAAAAGGTCCATAGGCTTAGTTATGTCAAAGTACTTGCATTTTGGAATTCCTGAACCCAACAGCACTGACTCAAATAATTTGAAATACCATGTCTCCTGATTCTCTGAATATTTGGCATTGTAGGTTACGGTATGTCTTGGGCCTTGTTAAGAATGTTTTATTCATCGACCTATTTCCCATACAGATGCAATTTCTGAAAATTACTGAGGTTTGATTATCTCAAAACCTGGAAGTATGACATAAGCCAATTCGGTTTTACTGAGGCGAAACATGGTTTTAGTGAGAAGTTGGAATGAACGATATGTGAATTTGCTTGATCAGTCTCGTAAATATTATCCATCTTTACTTGTTTCAGATCCTTCCACAATCTCAGGAAAAGTCTTGTAAATATTATCCATCTTTACTTGTTACAGATCCCTCTCAAATCTCAGAAAAAAGTTCTTCCAAAGCAAGCGCAGTGGAAAGCAGCAAAGGTGGTAGTCCATCACCTGCAAGACAGGGACCAGATGGAGCGAAAAGTAGAGGTAATGAAAGATATGAGCAAAATGTAAAGTTGGCTCCGGCACCGGGCTCTATAGCCATTATTAGTGATGCGGCCCAATATCGCATTTTGCTGATTGTTTACCCAAAGTGTTTTTTTAGGCTGTAAACACCTTTGAGTCGATGTCATGATAATTCCTCTTTTGTTTTTGCACGTATTATATACCTTTTGCCCCGGTAAGCATTAGCATCGGCTTCCTTGTTTCCTTCGTTGCATTGGCCAGTCAGCAAGATGCAAAAAGTGACGTAACAATGCTCCCTTTTCGCATCCGCTCAGACACTTTTCTCACTCAGACAGATTTTCAAGCGTGGTCGTAAACATTACCTCGTTTTCGCATTTTTGAACTCTATTCGTTAGTTTTCAGTTGTGTTTCGGAAACTTAAAATGTAAATCAGATAATTCAATGGTCATCCTGTCTTCCTGGGAGTTTTAATTTAATTGCAGTAATAAAAATTAGTGTAGAAATAGCTGTGATAGACTAGGCTAAAATTCTTTACCGGTTCTTTTAAAAAACAGATTGTCGTATGCTATGAATCATAAAAATGGTTTGAAACACATACCCCATTTCTCAGGCGCTAACTCGCAAAAGCACCATTAAAATAACCCAGAAAATTTTGCAGTGTTAAAGTATAGGAAGAATTTTTCGGGGATCAAAAGTCGGGAAAAGGTCCATAGGCTTAGTAATGTCATAGTACTTGCATTTTGGAATTCCTAGACCCAACAGCACTGACTCAAATAATTTGAAATACCATGTCTCCTGATTCTCTGAATATTTGGCATTGTAGGTTACGGTATGTCTTGGGCCTTGTTAAGAATGTTTCATTTATCGACCTATTTCCCAGACAGATGCAATTTCTGAAAATTACTGAAGTTTGATTTTCTCATAACCTGGAAATATGACATAAGCCAATTTGGTTTTACTGAGGCGATACATGGTTTTAGTATGAAGTTGAAATGAACGATATGTGAATTTGCTTGATCAGTCTTGTAAATATTATCCATCTTTACTTGTTACAGATCCCTCTCAAATCTCAGAAAAAAGTTCTTCCAAAGCAAGCGCAGTGGAAAGCAGCAAAGGTGGTAGTCCATCACCTGCAAGACAGGGACCAGATGGAGCGAAAAGTAGAGGTAATGAAAGATATGAGCAAAATGTAAAGTTGGCTCCGGCACCGGGCTCTATAGCCATTATTAGTGATGCGGCCCAATATCGCATTTTGCTGATTGTTTACCCAAAGTGGTTTTTTAGGCTGTAAACACCTTTGAGTCGATGTCATGATAATTCCTCTTTTGTTTTTGCACGTATTATATACCTTTTTTCCCGGTAAGCATTAGCATCGGCTTCCTTGTTTCCTTCGTTGCATTGGCCAGTCAGCAAGATGCAAAAAGTGACGTAACAATGCTCCCTTTTCGCATCCGCTCAGACACTTTTCTCACTCAGACAGATTTTCAAGCGTGGTCGTAAACATTACCTCGTTTTCGCATTTTTGAACTCTATTCGTTAGTTTTCAGTTGTGTTTCGGAAACTTAAAATGTAAATCAGATAATTCAATGGTCATCCTGTCTTCCTAGGAGTTTTAATTTAATTGCAGTAATAAAAATTAGTGTAGAAATAGCTGTGATAGACTAGGCTAAAATTCTTTACCGGTTCTTTTAAAAAACAGATTGTTGTATGCTATGAATCATAAAAATGGTTTGAAACACATACCCCATTTCTCAGGCGCTAACTCGCAAAAGCACCATTAAAATAACCCAGAAAATTTTGCAGTGTCAAAGTATAGGAAGAATTTTTCGGGGATCAAAAGTCGGGAAAAGGTCCATAGGCTTAGTAATGTCAAAGTACTTGCATTTTGGAATTCCTAGACCCAACAGCACTGACTCAAATAATTTGAAATACCATGTCTCCTGATTCTCTGAATATTTGGCATTGTAGGTTACGGTATGTCTTGGGCCTTGTTAAGAATGTTTTATTTATCGACCTATTTCCCAGACAGATGCAACTTCTGAAAATTACTGAAGTTTGATTTTCTCATAACCTGGAAATATGACATAAGCCAATTTGGTTTTACTGAGGCGATACATGGTTTTAGTATGAAGTTGAAATGAACGATATGTGAATTTGCTTGATCAGTCTTGTAAATATTATCCATCTTTACTTGTTACAGATCCTTCTCCAATCTCAGGAAAAGTCTTATAAATATTATCCATCTTTACTTGTTACAGATCTTTCTCCAATCTCAGGAAAAAGTTCTTCCAAAGCAAGCGCAGTGGAAAGCAGCAAAGGTGATAGTCCATCATCTGCAAAACAGGAACCATATGGAGCGAAAAGTAGAGGTAATGAAAGATATGAGCAAAATGTAAAGTTAATTAATAATAACGCATTTTGCTGATTGTTTACTAAGTGTGGTGTGGTATTTAGGCTGTAAACACCTTTGAGTCGATGTCATAATAATTCCTCTTTTGTTCTTGCACGTATTATATACCGTATTTCCCGGCAAATAAGTCTACCCAGCGAATAGGACAAGGCCTGTTTTAAGCCTACAAAAATTGTTTTTTGCATATATACCCCCCATTGAGACGGCAGGAAAATCGATTCCTGAAATGACCGCCGCGTTTGCACATTCTTCAAGATATCAGACTTTTTTGTCACGTAATATCCAATCCAAGACAACTGTCTTTCTATTTTTTATTCAATTGTGTTCAACATAACTTGCGATTGCGCCGACTTTCGACCAACTGAAAGCATTAATCATTGGTGAACAGTGAATACGCAATCCAAATTTTCTTGATTGAAAAGCTGAATCTAAAGCTCAAAAAAGGGCAAACTAGGAATATAATAAGTAAGATGAACTGATCGATTATACATTTGCAATGACCAAAAAAGTGTCGCGGGCCATCCTGAAACTAAACTTAAGGTGTTTCAGGTTTAATTTTTAGTATTTTATAATTCCGTTGTTTAATCAAGAAAATTTTGATTGCGTATTTGATTGCGGAATGTTTTATAAGATACTGAAATGAAACTGATGAGTCTCACTGCTCTAGAACATGATATAAGATCATTTATGTAAAGTATATTCAATCAATTTTTTTAAAATATATTTATCAATCTTTCTCTAACGATGATATCCTGAGAATATTATGAGTGATAGCAGCATTGCGATAGAGCGGAGTCAGTGTTGCAAGAACAAGTCAGATTTGTAGAATTGCGAATACAAATACGAAAAAAATCCGAATCAAAACAATATATAATCGGGCACTTTACCAAACATTTTTATGCCCGCAAACTGCGTTGGTATATTTTGGAGTTGTACAAATTTTCTTTTGTCATAAAACGATTCAACTGCGAAATACATCGAACAAAATTGAATAGATTTGAATGAATTGGGTATTTTATAATTCCGCTGTTTAATCAAGAAAATTTTGATTGCGTATTTGATTGCGGAATGTTTTATAAGATACTGAAATGAAACTGATGAGTCTCACTGCTCTAGAACATGATATAAGATCATTTATGTAAAGTATATTCAATCAATTTTTTTAAAGTATATTTATCAATCTTTCTCTAACGGTGATATCCTGAAAATTATGATAGCAGTGATAGCAGCATTGCGATAGAGCAGAGTCAGTGTTGCAAGAACAAGTCAGATTTGTAGAATTGCGAATACAAATACGAAAAAAATCCGAATCAAAACAATATATATTCGGGCACTTTACCAAACATTTTTATGCCCGCAAACTTCGTTGGTATATTTTGGAGTTGTACAAATTTTCTTTTGTCATAAAACGATTCAACTGCGAAATACATCGAACAAAATTGAATACATTTGAATGAATTGGGTATTTTATGCCACGAATAAATCATAATATGTTGCATGTTGAATTTCTCAGTTTGTAATTCCAAGTTGTGGCTTTTACTTGTAGTTTCATGTGGAGTTGGATTCGTGATGGCATATCTGGGTTAGATTTGTTTGTCTTTGAGCCACCTTATCAGCTTTTCTCTCCCTGGGATAAATATGACAAATCATATCCTATGTCATAGGTAACGGTATCTATCTGTGGGTAAAATTTCCAACCTTTATATCACAGATCCCAGCAAATCGTTCTCTGCATCATTGACCTCTAGAACAGCAGGAGAGAGTTTGACGACGAAGGAACCTGGAGTTGATCAAGGTGCGTATATGGCAAGCAGTTCTGTCAGAGATGTACCGGAATCTGCAGTATTTCCAACCAATTCAATACTTTTATCTCATCCATAATGTCCCGAAATTCAAATTAGAATAGGAATATTGGCAATGTGAAATCATTTTTGCTGTTAAGAGATCTCTGCTACCTTTACAGCCCATTAAATTTGGTTTTACTGAGGCGATACATGGTTTTAGTATGAAGTTGAAATAAACGATATGTGAATTTGCTTGATCAGTCTTGTAAATATTATCCATCTTTACTTGTTACAGATCCTTCTCCAATCTCAGGAAAAATTTCTTCTAAAGCAAGCGCAGTGGAAAGAAGCAAAGGTGGTAGTCCATCACCTGCAAGGCAGGGACAAGATGGAGCGAAAAGTAGAGGTAATGAAAGATATGAGCAAAATGTAAAGTTGGCTCCAGCTCCGGCCTCTATAGCCATTATCAGTGATGCAGCCCAATAACGATTTTGCTGATTGTTCACTAAGTGTGGTGTGTTATTTAGGCTGTAAACACCTTTGAGTCGATGTCATGATAATTCCTCTTTTGTTTTTGCACGTATTAAATACCTTATTTCCCGGTAAGCATTAGCAGCGGCTTCCTTGTTTACTTCGTGGCATTGGCCAGTCAGCAATGTGCAAAAAGTGACGTAACAATGCTCCCTTTTCGCATCCGCTCAGACACTTTTCTCACTCAGACAGATTTTCAAGCGTGGTCGTAAACATTACCTCGTTTTTGCATTTTTGAACTTTATTCAGTAGTTTTCAGTTGTGTTTCGGAAACTTAAATGTAAATTAGATAATTCAATGGTCATCCTGTCTTTCTAGGAGTTTTAATTTAATTGCAGTAATAAAAATTAGTGTAGAATAAGTTTTTTTATAGATTAGGCTAAAATTCTTTACCGGTACTTTTAAAAAACAGATTGTCGAATGCTATGAATCATAAAAATGGTTTGAAACACATACCCCATTTCTGAGGAGCTAACTGGCAAAAGCACCATTAAAATAGCCCAGAAAATTTTGCAATGGTAAAGTATAAGAAGAATTTTTCGGGGATCAAAGGTCGGGAAAAGGTCCATAGGCTTAGATATGAGGTAATGTCAAAGTACTTGCATTTTGGAATTCCTAGACCCAACAGCACTGACTCAAATAATTTGAAATACCATGTCTCCTGATTCTCTGAATCTTTGGCATTGTAGGTTACGTATGTCTTGGGCCTTGTTAAGAATGTTTTATTTATCGACCTATTTCCCATACAGATGCAATTTCTGAAAATTACTGAAGTTTGATTTTCTCATAACCTGGAAATATGACATAAGCCAATTTGGTTTTACTGGGGCGATACATGGTTTTAGTGAGAAGTTGGAATAAACGATATGTGAATTTGCTTGATCAGTCTTGCAAATATTATCCATCTTTACTTGTTTCAGATGCTTCTCCAATCTCAGGAAAAAATTCTTCCAAAGCAAGCGCAGTGGAAAGAAGCAAAGGTGGTAGTCCATCACCTGCAAGGCAGGGACCAGATGGAGCGAAAAGTAGAGGTAATGAAAGATATGAGCAAAATGTAAAGTTGGCTTCAGCTCCAGCCATTATCAGTGATGCAGCCCCGTGGCGTAGCCAGGGGGGCTTTCGGGATCGAACCCCCCCCCCCCTTTTGAATTTTCTGAAAAGTGAAAAAGTTGCCGATAACACGTGCAATTGCCTTCTGCTAAAATCGCCGTTCGTTTTCATCAACGCGGCATGCCTTTTATCCATTACTTTAAAATTGTCGTAGGAAATTTTCGTGTTATCATTAAACAAGGTTGAAAACGCGATTTTTTCCCGGTTTGTGATGATATATAAGATAATTAATCCGAAGTATATCCATCAATTTTTATTGTATTGAAATAAATTTTACTCCATGAGAATTTACAGCAGATTTACGGGTTTGTCAGGAGGTTTTATCTTTAAAAATAATCGGAGTTTCAGCATTGCGATTGAACGGAGTCAATGTTACAAGCACATCTCAAATTTGTCGAATTTGCAAAATAGAAAAAATACGGATCAAAACAATGTATGATAGGCGACGGGCAGTTACCACAAATTTTTATTTTTATGTCGGCAAATGGCCGAGGTATTTTAAAATTGTAAATTGTGAAAAATTGTTTTGTTTTGTCGACGCAAACGCTGGTTAAATTGAAGACAATTAAATTAATAAAGTAAGACATTTTAAATATGCCCTTATCGGTCACGAATTGATTACTTTGCACAACAGAAAAATCATTTTTCGTTGTAAACGTCGGCTCTTTTAACAAGTGGCGTAATCGCGGCGATGAATATGTATTTTTGATTTAACGATATACTTCATATGCATTTTCATTGTACGAAATAAAATTGTACTTTTCGGGATTTTATATCAGTTATTGAGATTTTTCTAACGGCGATAACGAGTTGGCAAGATTCCAAAAATACGTATTAAAATTAAATACACCGTTTATCTCATATTTTTATGTCCACCGATCGCCGTGGCATTTCAGAGAACTAATGTTTTAATTTTGATGTAAGAAGAAGCAACCGCGAGTTACGTTGGACACAATTAAACTAATATATAAAAACATTTTAGAATTTTGTAGTTGTCAGAGATTGAATATTTCACGCGACAAGAATAATCATTATACGCTGAAAAGACGTCCCTTTAACGATCGCGTAATGCGAAGACTGTTACAGACCGCAATGGGAATTTATGATTATGAACCCCCCCCCCCCCCCTTTTGAAAATCCTGGCTGCGTGCCTGATCTAACTCCTTATTCGGAGAAGAGATTTGAAATTACGATGAAAAAATTCAGTCTGTTATCAAACTTGTTATCCAACAATGTGGTCTTATCTAAGTACATTCCCTATAAAATAGTTTGTTCCACTCTTAATATTTTTTCCAAACATTGATCTATTTATTCCTAATTCCCTATTTGTTTAACATGCCTTACAATATTTTTATCTAGTCTTATCTAGTCATCATCTAATTATGCTGGTGTAAAAAAATTATCTGTCTCACATTTTTGCTTTCCCAGTAAAGCTGTCTTTAGTTTTATATCTCCTAAGTTTGTAACTACTTTGGCACTCCCTTAGTATATGAACCAAAATAGTGAACACCGGAATGTAGCATGTGTATCTGGTTAGGGTTGGGCCATAATTTTTTCCAATTTTTCCTTTCGCTTCCATTCCCATGGTTACACACAAAATGGTGCTCGGAGTCGTTATCCGGTTATCCTTGGATCGGGCGTCCATTGGGTATGAAGCTTCACCTCGACTTACTTTGGCATAAACTTGTTTTAACAATTCTTGTTCGATTTATATATTTCTATTTTTATAGATTAGGTGATGTGAGCAATATTCAGTTAAGTTTTGTTTTTTTGTCAACAAAGTTTTCCATTTGTGCAACATTCACCTCCTTAGCACATGTATCCTAAATACTTCAACTATATAGTTATTCTGAAATGATTTTGGTGAAAGTTGGCATAGTTTAAAACTTGAGAGAAATTTCATATATATTTCGAAAAAAAGAAAAATTCTATGGGAACCAGTTGAATGTGCCATGTTCATGTATACATACATATGTTTACATAACCCCTACCCACTGTTGCTCACATTTCTCTCTCCAGTACGAATATCAGAAAACCTGATCTTCCCAATATCGAGTATTTTTATCATACTCGGTTTGAGTTTGTCAAAAAATGTATTATTTTAAAATTGAGATTGACCTGATAATGCTTTTATAGTATGGCAGCCATATTTCTGTTGCTGTGTAATAGATTCGATAATTCATTAGTTAATTTATTAAATGCCGTTACATTGCCTAACTTTGCGCAAAACGGCCTTATGTTGAGCTATAACTTGAATATTTATTTTCCAAATGGTTCCAAATTCCCTAGAGCTCACAGAAAGTTTTGAAATAAATAAAGAGTAAAAGTCTCCTAATGCTTTCATAGTATGGCAGCCTTATTTCTTTTTTGCAGGCTCGGATATTCCCGGCACATCAGGCAGTGATCACAGTGGCAGTTCGGTTGAACAGGGACCTGAGAGTAAAGAGACTGGAGTTGATCCAGGTAATGCTGGTTGTGGATTTGGAGAAATGACTTGATGATTTGAGTTTTGTATCAAACTATGTTAGCAATGCATGTTACGGATATCCGGTTCAAATGATCCTTTCATCTATGACGTAATAATCTTGATGGGGAAAATTCTAGTCCTCCAAGAGCATGGTAATATCTCATAAAACTATTTGTCTAACTCCTTGTTTGAAGAAGAGATTCGAAAAAATGTTGAAAAATCAGCCTGCTACCGAACTGTCTAATCTCCCCCAATCCCGCCTGATCTAAGTGTATTTCTTACTAAATATTTTTTTCTACACATTTCTCCATAACAAACGCTCTATTAGTTTACCATGCCCTAAAAATTTTCAACCATCACGCAACATCTAGTTTCGGCATCGCACGTCTTACAGATAATTCATCACACGATTGGTAGTTTTCAAATTTACATTGCTCTCGTCAAGTGCTAATATATGTAAAGCAATTCTGCTACATTCCTTTCGTTCATTTCCCTTGATTTTATGTGAGCAGTAATACGATAACGCAACATGTAAATATTATTGTTACAGATCCTTCTCAAATCTCTGAAAGAATTTCTCCCGAACCAAGTGCGGTGGAAAGCAGCAAGGGTGGCAGTCCATCACCAGCTCAAGAGAGACAGAAGGTGGCGAAAAGTAAAGCTAATGAAAAAAATGGTAAAATTAAAATAAAGAGATTTGGAATATGTTATTCTGTTAGACAATTTGACACCTGTTGTTGCATTACACTTGAATCTTTTGTACATCAGGTGTAGCACTTGACGAAGCCAAGATTTAAACATTTTCTATATGAGCATCACTAATTGTAGTTCTCTGCTTGGTCTTTGTAATGTTCATTTTCGAAAATAAATTTTTTCACGCATATGCACTTCCAGGCATCGATGGTAATTTTTTCACATGGATAGAGATTTTCATCAAGAAATTACTTTTTATAAAATTCAAGCAATGACACATCTCTCGAATAAAAACAGGACTTTATTTCCTCATTGCATTGCATCTCAAGAAATTCGCAGCCTGGCATTTTGTCGCTAAATTCATTTCATTGAAGCATGGCTCCTCCTCTTCAGGTCATGAGATCAGTCCGGTATAGAATTGTTATTTTTGTAATTGTTTCAGGTACTTTACTGCTCGAAAAGCATCACTATTTCTGCCCTACATTTTTTCACATGATAAGTCATGTAAATTTACCCATCTTTACTCGTTATAAATCTTTCTCAAATCTCTAGGTGTTGTAGGTTGCATATCAGAGGTTACTTTCTAGGACTTTGTTAAGAATGAAGAGTCATAAAGGGGGTGGGGCATAGAATTATGTGTTATGTGCATGGGTATCTGAGTATGGATAATAATTTTATTTGCAAGCCAGACTGACCTGAGTTTGTTCTACGTATCCTATTTAATACAATCCCTTTTACATCTGACCCTCATTTAACCACATGTATCAATATCCGACAGTCTCAAGTCGAATTTTAAAAAGTAATTTGTTTCAAAAACAAGAAAATAAGGCTCAAATATAGGCACACAAAGGCCAAACGAAGTTGTGCGGGTGTCTGATCTTTCACACTACTGGTACGATATCTTTGTCTGTCCCCCATATCGCAACAAATGCAAAACTGCCACAAGGTACGCAATTTTCAATTTTGTTGTTGTTATTATTCATATAATAACAAGTCCCATAGAACCTTAAAAATTTTTAAAATAAATTAAAGTAATTACTACTAGTGAAAACAAAAATCTTTAACTACTAGAAATTCTAAACCAATTGGTTCTGTATTTAGAGAGAAAGCTATTTTTTTTTTCATAATGAGAAAAATACAAGAAAAAAAAATTAAACAGCAACAGCCAACAGCATAATACTAGAACAATCCATAGGTTCACTTCTTGTCCAAAAATATCAATCATAAGCTATCAAAAATACTAAATACTTCAATGATTCAATTATTCTGAAATGAGTTTGTCAAAAGTTTTAAAATTGAAATTGACTTCATAACGCTTTTTCTAATTTGCAGGCTCGAATATTCCCGGCACATCAGGCAGTGATCAGAGTGGGCGATCGGCTGAACAGAGAGCTGAGAGTAAAAAGTCTGGAGTTGATCAAGGTAATGCTGGTTGTTGATTTGTTCAGAGATGACTTGATGGTTCGAGTTTTGAATAAAACAATCTTGGCAATGCATGTTACTGATAATTCCTTAAACTATTGGTGATTTTCAATTTGATCTTGAGGGAGGAAAATCATATGTCAAACCATGGCTCCTTGTCCGGTCATGAGTTCGTGTCAGATATGGGAATTGATAACAAGTATTAGTTTCAGGTACTCTACTGCTTAAGAAGCAATACTTCTGTTACGATACGTTCCTTCATCCCAGCTTTATATGATCACCATGATTCAATATTATCCATCCTTACTTGTAACAGATACTTTCCAAATCTTGGCAAAAAATTCCTCTGAACCAAGTGCAGTGAAAAACAGCAAACGTGGTAGAACAATTACAAGTGTTATGTCGTTACGGTACTCTAGGTGTTGCAGGATACATATAATGGGGTGCTTGGGTAGGGCTTTTTTTAGCGTGTTATATTTATCAACCTTTTTCCCATACAGATGCAACTTCACTCGCACAATCTGAGGATGAGGAGACAGTGTCCAATGTTCCACCACCCAAGCTCGGTGCATCTCCATTTGATCCTCAATCAGCTGAGCAACATCCAGAGCCACAAGGGGCAACAGCAGGTGAGGGTGGGTTTGAATATTAAAGATATTGATGATGCTTCAGACAAGAAATGCCTAAATGAATTAAATATTTAACAATATAAAGGGGTTTGTATCCAAGATCTCTAGAGGTGGTGGGCATGGGGTTTGAATCCAAAAGCTCTTAAGTTTTAGCAGGGTTATTTGTGTTCTTTAAGTTGGGGAATATTGGTTGGAGAATATTTGCCATCTGTATAAAAGTCCAGCATCTTACGGTATCTGATAATCAACCAGAGTTATCTCTGTTGTCGTGGTTCCATCCAATCTATTATAATGCACAATATAATAAGATTATGATTATATAATCATGAGGTAATGTAAAAATTCTTGCATTTTGGAATTCCTGAACCTAGAATTTTTTCTAACAGCAATGAATTGAACAATTCAAAATACCATGTCTTTTAGCTAATGCGCTGAATCCTAGGTGTTGTCGGTACATATTAGTGGCCACTCGTCTTGGGAGTGTTTTATGTATCAACCGTCTTCTCATACAGATGCAACTTCACTCTCACAATCTGAGGAAGAGGAGACAGTGTCCAATGTTCCACCACCCAAGCTCGGTGCATCTCCATTTGATCCTCAATCAGCTGAGCAACATCCAGAGCCACAAGGGGCAACAGCAGGTGAAGGTGGTTTTGAATATTGGAGTAATTGATAATTATTATTCAGTCAGGAAAAGCCTAGATGATTCAAATATTTAAAAATATTGAAATGTTGTTAAAAATATATGTTTGAGAAGAAGTTGCTATAACATAGTAGATTTGTGATTTTTTTTTTCACGCAATTCGTAAATTTTCCAAATTAGAAATGCTTAGCAGTGTACTAATGTTGTGTCACCCTAACCCTTTCACCAGTAATTAAATGACTAGTAACCAATTGGATAAAATAATGACTCTCTACTGCCATCTAGTAAGATTTAATGTAGAATGGTTTTGTTACGTATTTTGGAAGTTGGAAAAGTTGATTTATCATAAGATGGCAAAAGTGAACTTGCATGGGTGTGGTGATAAAACAAGATAATATTTATGTTAACAATTTTATGTTCATTGTGTAGTCGCTGCTTACGACTGTTCATACTTGTACTAGGCTTAATTCATAGCAATTGTGTAAAGCAAGTCTAATCAATATTTCAGGAGACAATGAGAGATTTGAAGACGCTTGCACTGATATCTTGAAGAGATTTCCAACTTTTCAAACATTTCAAATGTTTGCACAAGCTGGGACAGGTCTCGCACTCAGTATCAATGAAATCTCAACAATTATTGAAGATAATGCAAGTTCTGTTGAAGATCAAAAGTTTGAGATGCTTCAACTTTGGAAAGAAAAAAACGGTAAATATTTGTTTGTTTTCCATAAACGAGGTAGGTTTGTGGGAAAGTTTTGATCAGTTGCGTGTATAAGGTTGTGCTTGAAACGAAATGTGAGAAACACATCATTCCAGTTTTACATAGCGTTGAGTAACCTCATTGACTTGTGAAGTCGTAGGTCTACGTGTATTGCTGGCATTGAAATCGGAGACATGGTTACTACTCACCACAGCCTCAGAGTCGCGTTTCATGATTCTAAAAGTGGGGAGTGGGAAACTCAAGCTATTGCAGTTTTCTGGAATTGAAAAGAATGTAAAACGTTATTTAATATCGCAGCCCAAGTAAAAGATTTCGCAATCAGGACTTCAGGGCCATAGTCAAGTCAGAGTCATGATTCATTTGTGGAACCAACCTGATGATGGATTTTCACAATAAAATTGAAATATTTACTCATAAATTGGTCATATTTTCTCTGTATTTCAGGATCAAATGCAACATCCAGATATATCAGAGAGGTTGTTGAGAAACATCTCAAGGCAGAGAATAGTGGTGTCATCGGTAAGTTTACTTCTTGACCTGTTTCACACCTTTGTGCCATACAAAGTTCTCGACAAGCATTCAATCTAGGATTGTAAAAATACTTTCCATTTGGGTCAGATCCCAAGAGTTATTAGAAATTGGTTCTGTATCCAACACCTTAAATAGTGGTGGGCATGAGGTTTATATCTGGGATGTCGAGAGATGGTGAGCATGGGGTTTGTATCGGAGTTCTCAAGTGGTGGTGGGCATGGGGTTAGTATCAGAGATTTCTAGAGTTGGTGGGCATGGGGTTTATATCTGAGATATCGAAAGGTGGTTGGCATGGGGTTAGTATAAGAGATTTCTAGAGGTGGTGGGCATGGGGTTTAAATCTGAGAAATCGAGAGGTGGCGGGCATGGGGTTTATATCTGAAATATCGAGAGGTGGTGGGCATGGGGTTAGTATCAGAGATTTCTAGAGGTGGTGGGCATGGGGTTTATATCTGAGAAATCGAGAGGTGGCGGGCATGGGGTTTATATCTGAAATATCGAGAGGTGGTGGGCATGGGGTTAGTATCAGAGATTTCTAGAGGTGGTGGACATGGGGTTAGTATCAGAGATTTCTAGAGGTGGTGGGCATGGGGTTTGTATCGGAGAACTCAAGAGGTGGTGGGCATGGGGTTAGTATCAGAAATTTCTAGAGGTTGTGGGCATAGGGTTTATATCTGAGATATCGAAAGGTGGTGGGCATGGGGTTTATATCTGAGAAATCGAGAGGTGGTGGGCAATGGGGTTAGTATCAGAGATTTCTAGAGGTGGTGGGCATGGGGTTAGTATCAGAGATTTCTAGAGGTGGTGGGCATGGGGTTTATATCTGAGATCTCTAGAGGTGGTGGGCATGGGGTTAGTATCAGAGATTCCTAGAGGTGGTGGGCATGGGGTTAGTATCAGAGGTTTCTAGACATGGTGAGCATGGGGTTTATATCTGAGATCTCTAGAGGTGGTGGGCATGGGGTTAGTATCAGAGAATCAAGAGGTGGTGGGCATGGGGTTTATATCTGAGATCTCTAGAGGTGGTGGGCATGGGG